ATACTACGAAATAGAATAGAGCAAGGCTTCCGACAAATTCGAGAAACACCAGGAATGATAGAGAGAGTAACCAGATGAATGACAAGACGCGTGCAGGTTTGTCTTCAAATGCAAGGTGGTCATTTCGAGCATCTTTTGTAAAAGTAATTAAAACAGAAAATTCATTATATCTCGTAAACGAAGACAGATAGAACATTTATTTATCTGACTTTTTTTCATTATTTTTAAGCGTACAATCAGCTCCCGAAGTTACGAAACACCCTGTATATATGATATATTGAAGATTTTGATGAGAAAAATAATTCATACGAAAATCATTTATCACTGTTTGGCTTCTAATACGCTTCAATCAGCTGGGAAGCTTGTATTCTACGTTTATCCTTCGAAAGGTAGCAGCCAGATACACGAGAGGAGAGAGAGCAACCACGATCGTAAAGTGTGCAAACTATTGATATTGAAACACCATTAGGTTGGACAAAGTTGCACGACACAGAAACGTTGGATACGTGAGGTAGATCTCACGACAATTTCACAACCGAGCCTGTCCCGGCTCAACCATAAGTAAGACCAGCAAACCATGTGCCTCGGACACACGTAGTTTCCGGTTCAAAGAACTTCCCTTGAATATCGCGAAGGAACGACGAATGATGGAAATCGTACCATCTTCCAGTTGCAAATGATGTATGAAACACGCTTAAGAGGAAGTGTTTTGGAAGCATGGAAATTCTGCCTATATACATATATGTATATGTTAATATTAACATTTTACTCGTCTGTGGAATAATGTTACATCTACATTTTAAAATTACTGAATTAAATGCGAACAATTTCTTATTTGCATAGCTGTTCTTAAGAAAACGATCAATTTAATTTTTGAACTGTAATATAATTATTTTCTACATAAATTAGTATTATATGTCACAGACTTATAAATTAGCATTTAGTATATCTCAACAATAATTATAAGTTAAAAACTAGCCATGCAAACGTAGTTTGCACTTTGTAAAAAATATAGAAATTACAGTATTCATTGTTGCCTTAAATTAATGAAGGCTACGAAACAATAAAATTATTGATTGAATAGAAAAAGTGTTTTTGAAAGCGTTGTGACAAAGATTACTACCTGCTGTGCATCACTGACCTTGCCTGAAAGTTGAACAGGAAAATAGTCATTATAAGTTGAACCTTCATCGTGTGCACATCGATTAAACTTTCGAAGCGAATTTTTCGTATTTTACCCTTCCAGCGGGGCAACGACGAGAAATCTTACAGAGACATCGTGGGATGCGTGCGCCTTAGTTTTAAGTTGCGTGCGTTTAGTTTTAGTTAATTATTAGATAGTTGATATCTGTAAATTCACTGTGAACGCATTCTGTACAAAGACACGTTTATTTAACTTGTGACAAAATTACGGATCCTTTCTATAGTTTTAGGTTATAGGTTATAGGTATATTTTAGGTTAGGTTTATATCACTATATATTACTTTTCACAGATTAAATTAATATACATGGTATACATTAGTAGCATAAACCTAACCTAAACCTTATTACTTTCCACAAATTAAATTAATATATATGGTATACATTAGTAGCATAAACCTAACCTAAACCCTATTACTTTTCACAGATTAAATTAATATATATGGTATATACATTAGTAGCATAAACCTAACCTAAACCTTATTACTTTTCACAGATTAAATTAATATATATGGTATACATTAGTAGCATAAACCTAACTTAAACCCTATTACTTTTCACAGATTAAATTAATATATATGGTATATACATTAGTAGCATAAACCTAACCTAAACCTTATTACTTTTCACAGATTAAATTAATATATATGGTATACATTAGTAGCATAAACCTAACCTAAACCCTATTACTTTTCACAGATTAAATTAATATATATGGTATATACATTAGTAGCATAAACCTAACCTAAAACCCTAGACCTTTATATCACTATATATTACTCTTCACAGATTAAACTGATATATATATAGTATATATCATAGTATATATCATTATTATTACTCAAAACGAACAATCGGACCTGAAAATCCAAAGTTGAGAGAGAAAAAAATCTAATAATCTACACATGTATGAACGAATGAAAAAAAAAAAAGAAAAAAAATAGAAAGAAACAAAAGAAATGATACGAATAAAAATCTCGAAATGAAAACCACCCCTCGAAAGCATAGTGTGTATTTTACGATCCTTCGGTAGAGTGGAGAGTTTTAGTTTCGACGTCCCGCGAGGCTCTCGAATTCCCGTCATTTCGCTCGCGTCGCTTTATCTCCTCCATCTCGTCCTCTCCCTCCCCCCCCCCCTCCTCCCATTCTCCTGCAGCGGATTTAAAACGCGACGCGTATCCCGCTGGAGAAGCGCGTCGCATCGCCTTCCAAGATTCCAAGGGTTGTCTGGATTATTCAGCAACCCTTCTGGCTCCTCGCGCGTTCGACTCTGTCCTTATCTATCGGCACGTTTAGGCACGTTAACTCTCGTTCCCCGAAATCGTCCGACGAGCGCCGCTTTCCACGTTTCGCGTCCCAATTCTACGCGAGATCTGGTGAAATTCAACGAGGATCGAGAGGAGGATCACCGCTGAAAATCGAGAATCAATTCGAGGGCTACAAGTTGCGATCAATTCCTCTCGCCAAGTGGTTTGCACAATTTTTCTTTCCGCGTGTCGATTTTCTCGATTCTCTCTCTCTTTCTCTCTCTCTCTCTCTCTCTCGCTGGCTTTTTGGGGGAGAAGAAGACTCTTCACTTTAAATAATGAAAACAATAATGAGAACCTCGTGCTAAAGAGAAATTCAGGAAATTTTAAGTGTCACGTAGAAGACAGAGGAAAAATAACAACTTGCGAGAGGGTTTCACGTTGGCTCGAAATTTAATTAATCCTATCCTCGCGGCTGTCGTCATTTCAATGTCTCTGATTTACTATCGAATAGAGCTTCAAGACGCCGCAACCGGTGTTTCCACGGAGTCACATTAAGGGTTAATTAATCGTTACGTCGCGCCAGTCCTCGAGGAACTATCTACTCGCGGGATTTACATCGTCCCGATCGTATATACAGGGTGGTCCATTTCAGCCAAGTCATTTAGATATTTTTTTCGAATCGTGATGATGCAAATGGCAAACATGTTTATTTATATTTATTGTTAGACTCTCGATTGATCAAGATCTGTGAATTGTGACTGATAGAGATAAATTAATTTACGCAGAGAACTTAAATTTAGGAGGTTATTTTTTTTTTTTTTTATCAGCTACACGATATGATAAAAAAAATATATACTAAAAAAAGCATCAACGACCTTGAAGAAAAATATTCTAACCAGTTACTGGCCTTCATATACCATTCACGTTGGACAAAAAATTTTTCGCATCGTCACAATTAACAAAGATATTTAGGTGGCCTTATTTAAATGGAGCATTCTGTATACTTGGTGTTCGTCGACGAACGTGAAACATTGTTGCGAAGCATCATCCTTTCGAAACGAATTTCCAGAAGGTTTTCCCCGTCAGAGGTTGAAACGAGTCCGTCGATGCAATAGATAATCTTTACGAGACTTTCGAGCAGTCGTTCCAAGTATCGATTTGTCGGGTCTTTAACTCTTACTGAACGTTATCTTGATCCAACAACTTTCATTTTCGATTCTCTTTTATTTTCGATTAACTCTCTCGAGTATACTCGTCATAAAAAGTAGTTTGACTCTTTTCGATTTGACGACAAAGAAAATTTGCGTTTGTTGTTCAAGTGAAAAATCTAGATAAGACATATTCGTGATTTTAACGCATTTTGGAATACTTTAGAATAAAAAAAGAAATTGTCAATTACATATATATAAGTTCTTATGAAAGAACGCAACGAAACGATACAATTTCGTAACAAAAAGAAACGACTGGGAAATTTTGTCAATTTCGCAGCGACGAGTCAAAGAAAATTTGCATTTGTTGTTCGAGTGAAAAATCTAGATAAAACATATTTGTGATTCTAACGCATTTTTGAATACTTTAGTATAAAAAAAGAAATTGTCAATTTTATATATATGAGTTCTCATGAAAGAACGCAACGAAATGATACAATTTCGTAACAAAAAGAAACGACTGAGAAATTTTGTCAATTTCATAGCGACGAGTCAAAGAAAATTTGCATTTGTTGTTCGAGTGAAAAATCTAAATTTAAACGCATTTTTGAATACTTTAGAATAAAAAAAGAAATTGTCAATTATATATATAATTATATATATATATATAAGTTCTCATTAATTATATATAAGTTCTCATGAAAGAACGCAACGAAACGATACAATTTCGTAACAAAAAGAAAACGACTAGGAAATTTTGTCAATTTCGCAGCGACGAGTCAAAGAAAATTTGCATTTGTTGTTCGAGTGATAAATCTAAATTTTAACGCATTTTTGAATACTTTAGAATAAAAAAAGAAATTGTCAATTATATATATAATTATATATATATATATATATAAGTTCTCATTAATTATATATAAGTTCTCATGAAAGAACGTAACGAAACGATACAATTTCGTAACAAAAAGAAACGACTGAGAAATTTTGTCAATTTCATAGCGACGAGTCAAAGAAAATTTGCATTTGTTGTTCGAGTGAAAAATCTAAATTTAAACGCATTTTTGAATACTTTAGAATAAAAAAAGAAATTGTCAATTATATATATAATTATATATATATAAGTTCTCATTAATTATATATAAGTTCTCATGAAAGAACGCAACGAAATGATACAATTTCGTAATAAAAAGAAACGACTGGGAAATTTTGTCAATTTCACAGCAACGTAAAATGCATTTACTCCTCGTCGTCGACTGCACAACATAGTCTACTCGCCCGCGGCTTAAAAATAATTCAGCGCACAGGTGCACGTTTCTCGAAAACGAGATAAAACGCTCGAACGGGGTTAAAGTATTGTTTCAGCGCCAAGACAAGCCGCGTGAGAGAATTTTCTTCGTCGAACTCTTCCTTTTGCCAATCGAACGAATAATACTCGTCGAAAAAATTAACTCGACTGTTGAAAACGATGTCTCGCACGCGAGTACGAACGTAACAAAAGTGATCGTTTCGAAATTCGAACGAGAATTCGCGTGTTTCACGAGCGAGCATAACGTAAATAGCCGGTGAAACGAACGTCGATCGAAATGACTATGAAATTACATCGAACGAAGCCGCCGATCAGTCGGATTTGATCCTCGCGGTAACTCGGTCCGCCAGCCATTACCACGTTTTTTTTATTTCAAGAACCAATCTTGATTGATATCATCCGATCCTAGTCGAGGAGCAGCGAGCGCCAGCGTTGCAATTATATCGATAATGTCGGCCAAACGTTAAATCCCTGCCTATGAACGGATTGCCACTATGCTAAATACTCGGTATGCTGTCGCTCGTCTGTCCCGTGTATCGCGCGTGGACGATGCAAAGTATAGGGTGGGCCAAAAGTTTCTTCCCGCTTATTTTCTTGTTTAATAAAACATCGGAATAAGGAAAGAAAATTTTATTAATTTTAATATAAGAAAAAACTAATTACTTAAGAAAACTTGAGTAAAAATTAATTTTACTTGAGAAAACTTGAACGTAAGAAAATTTACTTAAGAAAACTTGAGTAAAAACTAATTTTAGTTAAGAAAACTTGAACGTAAGAAAAATTACTTAAGAAAACTTGAGTAAAAACTAATTTTACTTGAGAAAACTTGAACGTAAGAAAATTTACTTAAGAAAACTTGAGAAAAAAAACTAATTTTAATTAAGAAAACTTGAACGTAAGAAAAATTACTTAAGAAAACTTGAGTAAAAAACTAATTTTACTTGAGAAAATTTGAACGTAAGAAAATTTGCTTAAGAAAACTTAAGAGAAAACTAATTTTACTTGAGAAAACTTAAACGTAAGAAAATTTACTTAAGAAAACTTGAGAAAACACTAATTTTATTTAAGGAAACTTAAACGTAAGAAAAATTACTCAAGAAAACTTAAGAATAAACTAATTTTACTTAAGAAAATTTAAACGTAAGGAAAATTACTTAAGAAAAAATTAATTTTATTAATTTTGAATTAAATTTAAGTTCGAACGTGATTTTCTTTTTACGTACTTTAATCTGTAAAAAAAGAAATTAGAAAAAATATACAATAAAAAAAAATTACGGATTTATTTTAATAGGAAGTGATTTTTGACCCAGCCTGTACATTTATACAGCGGATCAATTTTTCTTTTTTTTCTTTGCATTTTACAAAGGTAAAATTTTTCCAAGCAATCTAACAGTTCTTTTGAAAAATAGCAAGAAAGTTTCTCAATCATTGAGGATGCGCGCGTTCTAACAGCGACTTTACGATTTTCGACATGTGGATGTAATGAAATGTATATTTCGAGTAATGTTAACAGTTAGTTTTATCATTTGATTATTTCGATTTACACTGATTATATCAGTGAAATCTACAACACGAGAATTACGTAAAATCGAAAAAAAACATCCACGCGGCCAGAATCATAAAGTCGCTGTTAGGACGCGCACTTGAATCCTGTTGAAAAATTGAGGCATGAAATCGAGTTTGCTCGAGAGCCCCCGCTGCCACGCAGAGTTTCATTCGCTTAAAAAACCGAAAGGAGCTGCTCAGTCGTTAAAAGACGCAAAACACGTGCAATTCAGGATTTCGTAATCCACGTTAAATACTCGGAATTTATGGAACGAAGATTACGCGGAGTATCGGCGAAACGCGCGGACCGCAGAGATCCACCGCGGTTATTGTTATTTAAATTTAATTAAACGGCCGGGACAGGGGCCGTTAATCACGGCCGCCGGTCGACGTGTTCAATTTTCACCCGGCGAGAAAAAAAAAAAAGTTAATTATCCGAAGCTTGCCTGTCCGTAGTCGCGCATTCCACTTGGAATACCTCGAGCCCTCCTACCGTTCATCAATTTCCCTTCTCCCCTGGTCAACAGAGTTCATACCCGCTGGAAAATAATTCTAAATTTTCTGCAGAAGAAATTAAAAATGAAAAAAAGAACGAAACGAATAATATCGGAAAACGAAGGAGTCGTCGGCAACAGAGAATTTTCTTCCACGATCCAAGGAAACGCTCGACAGATTTTGCAAATTCTACAGATCTACAAATCGTATTCACCCTCTTTGTACTAGAAGTCGATCCTTTTGCAGATCACGTTCATCTTATTGCAAATTGAAATTCATTTACATTTTATATAAATGGTATATAAGCTCACCCTTTAGCAAATCAAATTCACTTTGGGCGATTCAAAAGTGAAGTAACATATTACACTTTATTATTTCTATCAACGTATTCTTTAATCAGACGAAGACCTCACTGAAGAGATTTTTCGAAAATCAAATTCCGTGCAAGAAATATTTTGACTGATCCTTCAAACCGTTTAGTGGATCTATTGTTAATCGTTCTGTTGCAGCTATCGCTCTTACAGATTGTCACAATTATTATATGAATTATATATTATATGAATACATGATTCTACATACGTATACATAAATACTTTCAGCGTTAAATAAGTATTTCATGTTTAATTTTTGTGTCATTTTACTTTTACACTTGCAGTAAAATTTTTCTTTCAGAATAGTAACTGTACGTTGAACTTTATTTTGGCTTGGGAAGACAAATTTGATTTGCAAATGGGTGAATGAAAATGATCTGAAAAGGGGAGTGCACAGCCTGTAGAATTGAATTTTATACTGCTCATTTTCTTGTATTGTGAGAAAATTTTGGGTCTGAGTCATCATGAACGATTCGACACGAGACCCTAATTTCATGGTCTGTAGGCGCAATTTGCGTCACTTTGTCACGTGCAATAAAAACTTTTTCTTCTGAAACAGTTCATTCTTATTTTACAATGGCTTGAGAAAACAAATTTGCAGAAAAACTTGACTCGCAAAAGGGTGAAAGAGTGAATTTTATTTACAAAAAGGTAAATACGATATCCGTAAAAAAAAAAAAAAAAAAATGAACGTATGTACAGTGAAAAATGATTATTGGGTAACTTTTACACTTGCAGTAAAATTTTCCTTTCGGAATAGTAATTCTACTTCATTTTTATTTCACAGTGGCTTGAGAAAACAAATTTGTAGAAAAAGGGTGAATTTGATTCGTATAAAAAGAGTGACAACGAAGAGTGACAGCTTGAAAATGATCGAAGAATTATAGCGAGTACGATCAAGAACGGTTGCAATTCGTATCGTATCGAAACGTTGAAAATGTTTTCACCCCTTTCGCGAGAAGAATGAGATAATTGTTTCTCACCATGGAAAAATATAAACTTAAAGTTAAAGTCCACGTTGCAAGAAAAACTATGTGCTCTTCAAGGTCTTTAATTGATCGTGACGCACACACACACACACACGAATACGAGTACTGCGTGCCACTGAACGGAATTCACGATCATTTCCTCGTTTCGGTCGTCGGCTTATTGGCCTCGGCGTCCCTTCCGTGTGTCCCTCGCGCAAACGATATTTACGTACGGATTTATCAGTCTCCGCACAGTCTGGTCCACACAGTTTGGTCAATTTCGCTCGGTTTCCTGGCGGACCAGCCCGCCCCCTACCTTCGACGAAATCGAAATCTCCGGAACCGGAAGAACCGGAGAAAATAAGGCGAGTGATCAAGGAGAACGAGAGGAATAATGGTGGACAAGAGGTATTATTGCCTTTCACGCTTGTTTCGCCTCTCCGCTGCGCGCCTGGAAATATCTCGTCGATACGAACAACGCGCGGAACTTGGCGAAACATTCGGAGGAGAACACGAGGAATTTGCGAAGCAAAAGGGAAGTTGGGAAATTTGTCGTGGAAAGAGTTGGCAGTGGAGGACTGAAACGGGATGAAATCGTAACCGAATGTGTCGCGGCAGTGTTTGAGAACGTTGAGTCGCGGAAAACGCGAAGAACATGAGAGATATGAGCTGGGTTGAGTGCGAGAGTAAGGAATTTAGCGTTTCGAGACAAGATGGAAAAATTCGTGGCGTTTAAATGAATATGTTTAAGTTTCATAAATAATTATTATTGTTGTATGAATACTTTTGTATTTTACATTATATGAAATAAATGTTTAATATTTTGTATTTTATATGAAATAAATATTTAATATTTTGTATTTTATATAAAATAAATATTTAATATTTTGTAATAATTATAAAAATATTTAATATTATGTAATAATTGTAAAAAGACTTAACATTTTATATTTTGTATGAAATAAATATTTAATATTTTGTATTTTATATAAAATAAATATTTAATATTTTGTAATAATTATAAAAATATTTAATATTATGTAATAATTGTAAAAAGACTTAACATTTTATATTTTGTATGAAATAAATATTTAATATTTTGTATTTTATATAAAATAAATATTTAATATTTTGTAATAATTATAAAAATATTTAATATCATGTAATAATTGTAAAAAGACTTAATATTTTATATTTTGTATGAAATAAATATTTAATATTTTGTAATAATTATAAAAAATATTTAATATTTTGTATTTTAATATTTATATGAGTATTTTTTATTTTAATATTTGTTTATATACCAAACATTTATTTTTTTTATAATTTTATAGAAATATTTATTATTTTTATTTTTTTATAATTTTATAAAAAAAATATATATATATACACTATTAATAATGATTATATAATGGAATTAAATTAATTATTAATGAACAAATATACAACACATTATGTAAGCATGTAATTGAACAGTTTAGCGAAATGAGGTTGAACTTGTGAAAAATTCAGCGTCTCGAAACGGAAGGGTGGAGAACGTGAAAGGATTCAAACAGCTGCAAACGAGGGTAAACTCGTGAAATTACGAAAAATTACGAATCTTTGGATGAGAAATGTGGGAAATTTCTTTCGAGGTTTGCGCAGCGTGATAAAACACCACGATCAAACGGAGTTTCTGCGGGAACGAGAAATCTCCTGCAATTTCGCGCGAGTGATGGGTAAAAAAGGAGATGCATGTTGTAGCATTACAGATCATTATTTCAAAAACGTGAGTTGTTTTCTTT